CCTTGCTCTTTTTACAGGTACAGACTCAGAGAATGACAAAGTACTCTCTACACTAATGAGAGCTTGCCAGTGTTTGACCCTAGATTAGGTATTTAACACCCCTTATTTCAGATGAAAGTAAGTGGCAGGATTATTGTCTAAATCAGGTCTGTCTGACTTTAAAGCCCATGCTTCTTCCACTAACATCACAAACTTCCATGACAAAAGTAGAAGATATGAGATCATGTACATTCACTATAAACTACTACATTGGTATCTACCTCTCTAATTACTATTAGAGGTCGAGCCCAGAGTGGAAGTCAATCGAAATGAGGAGAAACAGCTGCAAATATCTTTAATAGTTAGAACATGAAATGACTGGAGTATGAATGCTGGAAAACTAGAACTTGTGAAAAATGAAATAGCATGAACATCAGCATTCTATCAGGGAGATGAGATGGACTGGCTTTGGCTACTGTAAGAATGGTATTGCATTCAAAATGAAGACGACAATTTCAAGTTCCATCCTGAAGGATAGGATGCATACAAGGACACCTGTTAATACAACCTTTATTCAAATATATGCACTAAAAGCTAAAACCAAAGAGGAGGAAATTGAAGATTTTTATAAAATTTTGCTGTCCAAAACTGACCAAATATACAATTAAGATGTGTTAATGGTAACTGATGACTGGAATTCAAAACTTGGAGGCAAGAAACAGAATGACTGAATTTTGCATGTTTGATGATTTACTCATTGCAAATGCTGTTGTTATGTGCTGTCGAGTCACCTGCGACTCATAGCAACCCTATGTATAACAGCCCTAAACCCTGCTCTATCCTGAGCCAATTTTATTGTCTCTGACACACCCACCCCCATTACCCAGTCACTGAATCAATCCATCTCATCGAGGGTTTTCCTCTCCTATGCTATCCCTCCACCTTCCCAAATATGATGTCCCTCTCCAAGGACTGATTCTTTCTTGCAACATGTCCAAAGTATGTCAGAAGAAGCTTCAGAATCCTTACCTCCAAGGAGAAGTCTGATTTAACCATCCCTAGGATGAACCTGTTTGTTCTCTTAGGAGTCCATGGTATACAAAATTCTCTTATCCAACAGCACAGCTCAAAGGCAACAATTCTCCTATCATCCCTAGTCATTGCCTAGCTCTCTAATGCATAGCAATTGATTGCTAAGACCATGGCCTGTATCTAATACATCTTAGTCTCCAGACTGACACAGTTGCTCTTCAGTGCTTTTTCAAAAAACACCTATGGTGACTACAATTAGACCTCAACAGGTAAGACTGCAGAGGACTCAGACTGACTTTATGTGTGGAAGAAACTGCTGGACCACAACCTCAGCAGTCAAAAGCAGGCCAAGTGCTGACTGTGGAACAGACCATCAATTACTCAGTTTAAACTGAAGCTGAAGAAAATTAAAAGAAGTCCACAAGAACCAAATATGATCTTAGATCTATTCTACTTGAATTTAAAAATCATCTTAAGAAGAGGTTTGGAAGCACTGATTGGCAGTGATTGAAGACCAGATGAGTTGTTGGGTTGTTGGATGATACCAAGGATATTATCCATGAAGAGAACAAAAAAGTCATTGCAAAGACAGAGGAGAAAGAAAAACCAAAATGAATGTCAGACGAAACTCTGAAAATTGCACTAGTATGTCAAGAAGCCACAACAAAGAGATGCTGAAGAGAAGATTTAAAAGGGCAGCTCTAGAAGACAAAGCAAACTACTATAATGTAATGTGCAGAAACCTAGACTTGGAGAATAAAAAGGGAAGAACTCGCTCAGCATTTCTCAAGGAAAAAAACTGAAAAACAAATTCAAGCTTCGATTTGCAATACTTAGAGATGCTGTAGGCGAACTCTTGACTGATCCAGGAAACATAAAAAGATGATGGAGGAAATACACAGAATCATTGGACCAAAAAAAAAAATTGGCCTAAATGGAAATATTTCAGGAAGTACAATGTGATCAAGAGTCAATGGTAATGAAGGAAGACGTTCAAGCTGCATTAAAGACAGTGGCAAAATACAGGGCCCCAGGAATCTATGGGGTACTAACTGACATGTTTGAAAAGACAGACGTAGCCCTGGATGTGCTCACCAGTCTATACAGGAAATTTGGAAAACTATTACTTGGCTGGCTGACTGGAAGAGATCCATATTTGTTCCCATTGCTAAGAAAGGTGATCCAACAGAATGTGGAAATTATCAAACAATATCATTAATATCATATGTAAGCAAAATACTGCTGAAGATCACTAAAAAATGGCTAGAACAGTAGAACTGCCAAATGTTCAAGCTGGATTTAAAAGAGGTCATGGCAGCAGGGATATGAGATATCAGATGGATCCTGGCTGAAAGCAAAATAATATTTGTGCTTTACTGACTGTGCAAAAGAATATGACTATGTGGATCACAACAAAGTATGGCTAACATTGAGAAGAATGGGAATCTCAGAATATTTAACTATGTTCGTGCAAAATCTGTACCTAGACCAAGAAATTATTGTGCGAGCAGAGGAAGAGAACAATCCATGGTTTAAAATTAAGACAGATGTTCCCTGGGGTTGTATCCTTTCTCCCTACCTATCCAATCTGTATGTGGAGCAACTTGTTCAAGAAGCAGGATTCTATGAAGAATGATGTAGCATCACGATTGGAGGAAGACTCATTAATAACTTTCATTATGCAGATGACACAACCTTGCTTACTGAAAGTGAGGAGAACTTGAAGTGCTTTCTGCAGAAGATTAAACAATGCAGCCTTCAATGTGGACTGCAATCCATGTCAAGAAAATAAAAATCTTTACCACTAGACTGATAGGCAGTGTCATGCTAGATGGGCAAAAGATTGAAACTCTCAATAATTTCATTACTTCGATCCACACTCAATGTATTTGGTATCAGCAGTCAGGAGATCCGAAGTATTGCACTGGGAAAGTCTGCAGTCAGAGAGCTCTCCAAATTATTGAGGAGCAATGATGATAGACTGAGGACTAAGGTGTACCTGATTCAGGCCATGGTCTTTGCAATCACTTGCTATGCGTCTGAGAGCTGACCAGTGAATAAGGATGATAGAGGAATTGATGCCTTTGAATTGTGGTGTTAGAGAAGAGCACTAAATCCCACTGACTGCAAAAGAACAAATAAATTATGTCTTAGAGAAAGTGCAGCCAGAGTGCTCCTTGGAGGCAAAGATGATAAAGCTTCAACTTGCATACTCTGGGCATGTTACTAGTAGAGGCTAATCCCTGGAGAGGGCCATCATGCTTAGCAAAGCGGCACGATGGCAGAGAAGAGGAAGACCCTCAACCAGGTGACTGACACAGTAACTAGCAATGGGCTTGAGTGTGTCAGAGATGATGAGGATGGCGCAGGACAGGGCAGGGTTCAGATCTATTGTTCACAGGATCTCTGAGTTGTACTTGAAGGCAACACTATCACTGTAAATTGTGATAATAAAAAGTTAGGTTGGTTTTAAAACAATGGCTTCTGCACACACTCTGCAGGTGTCCTAATGTTGCCTCCTCTATTGCTGCACCTTTGGCCTCCAAAGTCTTCCACTTTAGCTGGTCAATTCCACTACAAATCTGTACAGGAAGGCTCGCCTATGGCCCTGGCTATCTTCTTAGTACTTTTCATTTTCCCTTCCCTCTTCCACCAAAGACTTATCATCTCATCTCATTACTGTTAAGTGGAAACCAACTCATAGCTGACCATCCAGGGGGTTTTCAGAGGCTGTAAATCACATGGGAGGAAGCTGGCTGTGGCACATTTGGTGGATTTGAGTCACTAGAGAGGACACCTCTTTGGCTTAGCAGTGTGACTCTTTCCAGACTCTGCCATCAGAGCTCCCTAAATTAAAGAAATAAGCATTCCAAATCTTTTCTTCTCTCCCTAACAATGCAGTTTGTTAAATTATCACTTTTGATTAGGTTGTCATGTGCCGTCGAGTCACCTGCGACCCTATGTACAATAGCCCTAAATCCTGCTCTATCGTATGCCAATCTTATTGTCTCTGACGTCCCTCTTCAAGGACTGATCCCACCTTGCAACACGTCCAAAGTATGTCAGATGAAGATTCAGAAGCCTTGCCTCCAAGGAGCAGCTTGGTTTCACCCTCTTCAGGGTAAACCTGTTTGTTCTTCTAGCAGTCCATGGTTTATTTAATACTCTTCTCTAGCATCACTGCACAAAGATATCAGTTCTCCTTCTATCATTCCTAGTCGCTGTCCAGCTTTCTGATGCATAGATAAGCTTTATTTTTTTATATATTTTGCCCACAGTAAATACGGAGTGTCTGGTATATATGAGGCAACTTATTCCACAACACTAAGCAGCAAGAGAAATAGTGAATTTCCAGTTTGGACACTGAAACATATAGACTAAATGATCATTTAAACTTGCCATTTGCAAGAAGTATAATTCTTCTCCTAGAAATGTGTAAAGGGAGTTCTGGCGGCTTTGTGGTAAGGAACTGTGCTGCCAATGCAAAGGTTCATGGTTAGAACCCGATAGCTAATCCACAGGGAAGGATGTACACTCTCCTCCTGTTTTATTTACTGCCTCTGAAAACACGCTGGAGAGTGAGCTCTGTGTCAGTTCTGACTCAGTGGTATATAATAACAACAAAATGCTGAAAATATTTTTTCTAGGAGAAAGTTCCTTTAAGTTTCACTTTAAAAGGGTGTACAATTTTTCTTTGAAAATCTAAAATATGTCTTTAAATGGGGGGGGGAAAGGGGCTAAAAGTTTCTGTCTTAGCAAAATTTGCATCAAATAAAAACAGAGTGAACATGTATACTTGTGTTGTAACATGCCACATACAACCTATTCATTATAGAATTTAAATAAAGTAGACTCTTTGTCTTTTCCTGTCCATCTGAATGAACAAAGTCAAAGGCAATTCAAAGAGATGGTGCGTTCTGTTTGTCTCGGCCTCGTCGGTAGGAAGCACATCCTGAGCTGAGAAGGAAGGAACAGGGATGGGGACTTACCTCCCAATGGCTGAATACCAGCTGCGGGCTGGCCAGGCCACTCGTCCGTTTCCTGATTTCATCAGCGAAGCCAAAGCTTTCAGCCACGGGAAGCACAGCTTTGATGATGAACATGTCTGTCCCTTCCTTCATTTCTTCCTGAAGCACTCGGCCTTCTCTCTTTGACAAGACAGCATAGACTCGACCTGCGGATTCATAAATTTGTCAGTTCATCGACCAGTTACGTTTTGAGTTACATATGGGCTTGTACACCTTGTAACAATCCATTAATGAGCAATTTTCTTCTCACTAGTTTCTTACATAGAGTAAAGCACAGTAACAATAGAAAATTAAACTAAGACATAAAAATGAAATCACCCTAAAGTCTATTACCCAAACAATCTCTACAATAAGACATGAGACATATGAGACTCTTCCAACACAGTTTCATGTATGAACCTGTCTTTTGATATGAAATCTAATGAGTGGAGTGTGACTGTGCTTGGACACACTTATGTAACTGCAAGACAACTATCAACATGATGATGAAGAGGTAAGTTATGTGGCTTTAGTAAGCAAGCAGCTGGCAAAACACTTTTATACTAAAAATAAAAACCACACAAACATAAACTCTTGCTCATATTTTTTCTTGAACCGATTATATAAGTGGCACGAATGTGAAAAGTTTGTTTCCCTGGAAGATGATACTCTTTGGAATCTTTAACGTCTGCTAACAATTCCTACTGCCATACCACAAGAAACTGCGCAAGTTCTCCTGGCTGACACTTCTAATTCTTCTTTAGGTCTAAGTCTGCCTTACCCCCAGAAGGGGAATGCCTCTAACTGGAGTTCTGTATGAGGCCTCTGGGTGCTCAAATATCCTTTCGCTCAGCAAGCAGAGCAGACTCTGCAAACAACTGTGATGAACTAAAAACCAGATGACTGTGGAAAACGTGCAACAGCTAACACACTGTCCTGAAAGCCTCCTCTTTAGTCTGTCATTAAAACAGTAATGTTTAATTAAGTGACATGAATATACTATCTTTAAATAACATTACAGGTTAAGCAGGGTTAAAGTCTCCTTTGACCTCTACAAAGACTTGCAGGCCTGCCTTCCTAAGTGGCCACGCAAGGAGTCTGGAGTGTAGGAGACGTACCTTATTGTTCAACTAGGAAATGAGGCATAGAGCAAAACTGACTCCCAAACTCTTCTCTCTGACTCAGATTTCCCCCTGGTGGAGGTTATTTGGAAAGAGAAAAGGAAACAAATAGTAGAACATTACTGTATTGCAGGTCTTAAAAAAAAAAATTTTTAAAAAAAAAATCCCAAAGCGAACTGCCCGTTAGCTACTTATTCTTTCCTTTCTCCCCTACAATTCTTAAGCAGGTGGGTTATCATTTCTTCATGAAGGGCTTCCTTTAACATCTGGGCTTTACTCAAAGTGTTGCACTGCAGTTTCAAGAGTAATGTTCATGTGCCAATCTAACATGATGGGAAAGAGGGACTCAAAGAGACAGGCCCTCGGCAGGATAGACTTCCACAGTGACTTTAACGGCGGGCTTGAGCACGTCAGAGATGCTGAGGATGGCACAGGACAGGGCAAGGCTAACACGTGTTGCTCGAAGCCCTTGCTCGAAGCCTGTGAGGCCCTAGTGAACTTGACGGTACCTAACAGCAAATACCAGCTAAAATGCCTTTTTTTCTCAATTCCTGTTCTCTGTGATTTATCGATGGATTAACACCTCTGCAACCAAATCTTTCTGTTATCAGATTCACCCTCCTAACACTTCTATTGTTCTCCCGATTGCCATTCCATTTATTTCAATAACCCTTCAATGCTTTGGGGTTTCATACTCTCTTGTGAACAAATTCCCCCTTCAAAGAGCATATTCCCTCATCACTTGTTGGATTTAATGCTGATTTTATGCCTGAGGCTTCAGAGACTCTATGTAGGCCAGGCTTCTCACCTGACCCCTCACATATTACAAGGACTGTTGGGGAATCTCCACCATGGAATCCAACATCCTTTTAAATTCAACACTTCCTCAGAATTCATTGCCTTCTACAAAAGGCAACTCCATTCTCCCAATTCCAATCAAACACTGTTCTCCTTGTTATTCCTACTAGAAATTTCAGAGAAACAGGATCAAGATTGACCCCAACTATGGTGCCAAGTAGTCTTTTAAAATCTGAATGCTTTCAAAACTTTCTCCTTGGGAAGCTCAGTCCATCTCTGGACAGCCTTAACTGGTAGGTAATTCTATACCCCACAGCTGTTCCCCTCATTTTGAATCACAAGTCCTAGGTTTCCATCATATGGAACAAGTTTAATCATACTTCTATAGACCTTTTTAACTGCTAGACAATGGCTATCTTGTCTTCTCTTTGTTTTGTTCTGTACCATCGAGTCAGAACAACCCACAGCTGATCCTTCAGCGGGTTTTCAAAGTAGTAAATTGTATAGGAGAAGATCACCTATCTTTCCTCCAGCGCAGCAGCTGGAGGATCAGAACCACGTTCCTTTGAGTTGGCAGCACAATTCCTCACCACTAAGTCACCAGAGTTTCCCATTTCCAGGCTAAATATCTCCAATCTTTCTATAACATGGCCCAGGTTTCCTGCCCCATCCTGGTTACTCTTCCATTTTAATCATTCTGATTTATTTACATTTTCTAGGCATATGGTGCCCAGAACTGAAAACTGTACTTTAGGTACAGCTGGAAAAACTATGCAAAAGCAGGGCAATCACCCTGATGACAAGAAATCTTTGGTAGGCTTGTCTGAGATAAATAAGCAACTCACTGCCATCAAAATTGACTCTTAGCTGATCCTCCAGTGGTTTTTTGGAGACTGTAAATTACACAGGAGGGATTATCCATCTTTCTCCTGCATAATCAAAGGCAGATTCAAATTACCAGGCCTTTGGGTTCTTAGTGCATGCCATTAGAGCTACCCTACCAACACAGCAGACACATATGAGTTATTAATCTTTATTTGGTTGCTACTCATTCTAAGAAAAGTTTAAAGTGGCTTATGAGAGTGAATACAGACAAAATAACCAGACAAAGAGAAGGAGGAAACAGGGGCAAACTGAGCAGGAATGGGAGGACCTGACTAATGTTTCAGGGCTTGGGACCATCTCTTGTCCTGGGTCAAGCCAGTTGCCTTGGATCAATCACAGTAGGAGAGAAATGTAATTAATAGTGGAATTGAGTCAATCAATTTTAATCCCAGAAGAGGTATATCCTGACCAATTTTAATCCCACAAGAACTACCAAGCTGCCACAATGAGTTCTACATGACTTGACAGCACCTAACAACAACAGAACTACATCTTAAAACTGTGGATACTGACAATCACCAAAGAAAAACAGTGCCAAGAAAACTGTTCAAACACACTTGACTCTCATTGCAGGGGTGTCCACTGACTAGATACATTTAGAGACCCCAGCACAGGGCCACTGAGATGTCACACAGACATAAAAGGAGGACTTATGATCACGTAGTCCTGATGAAAACACTCCACATTCCTTCACCTGGGTATCTTCCACCATGCTACACTTGTTTACCACTAAAAGAAACATCACTCTTGTACAAAAACGTGGCATGATTTGCAAACAAACCTTCACCCAAATAAAAAAGAAAAAAATACTAAAAGAAACATTGTGTGCCCTACTATATACAAGGCCCACAAAGAGGCTTTTGTCAAGAGATAAACTAGCAACAAGATCAATCCCATTAAGATAGTTTCCACTGGAGGCCGACTTGACATGTGTTCACTAGCATTCTAGGCTTCTCTGACCTGGCAGTGACCAAGTACTTCAGCTCCTGTTATGATCACTGTACAGCCTGTTAGCCAAGGTCAACCACTCACTGCCATAGTGCACACCAGAGGTTTCAAGACTCTGAACTCAAGTCTTTCAAGTCTACACACAAATCTTTTTCATCCTTCAAGGCCTACTAAAAAACAACCCAGGCCATAAAATTCTCTAATGCCTTCAACTGAAAATAATCTCTTCACTCTCTGATTATACCTTTATGCCATCAGAGTCTTATCTATACATCTTATTTATGATAGGTGGTAAGACTGATCTTAGATTCTGCAATCTTTAAAAGTGGAAGTTTTGACAATTACAGTTCTGTGGGGTATTTTTGGTTTGTTCTGGTTTTCTTTTTAAACTTTAGAAAAAGAGCTAGCCACTCACAGCAATCATTTCTCTAATAATAAACAAACTGAAAATAATGTAAATTTCAAATTTGGGGATAATGGGTAAGTAAATTACAGTACAGTAAGTTTACAGCATATTATCAGCGACCTTCAGAGGAAAATTATGAACACTACATAGCCAAATGGAAGAAAGCTCATAAAATGAACCGTAAATGCAAAAAGCAGAATATTAAATTGCTTCTAATGCAAAGTTACAGCTGTACAAATTGCATAATTATCTATAAGGATTATAAAAGAAGAGAATAAAAGAAATAGTTGTAAAGAGGAAGATCCCCCACCCCCAGCTTGTTAAATTCTGTTATTATTGCTTACATTTGTGCAGTAACTTCAATTGAACACTCGCACACAAACACATGGAAAAAGAGAGACACAGATATTGGCAGGTTGCAAACAATTTGGGTTTGATTCTCATAAACCAGGTCACAGGAACCTCTTTTCCGTTTCTTACAGAGTTAGCAGGCTACTAAATTAAGCAAATGTGGCTGACAGGATGCAGATGGGCTTTAACCAAATAGGAGGTTAAGTATGCTCTGACTGTAACGGAGAAAGTGGGTTGGGTGTTATTATATAGATGAATTCCATTAAAAGCTCACAGGAAATAGATGCTAGCAAGTGGACCCCACTCACACCTGGCAAAAGCTCCTGAACGCTCTAGCTCACAATATTCTGTCTTTATTACAACCTAGTTGATTCAAAAGGCATGATGACTAAATCCAAAGTTGACATGAAGCTGAGAGAACAATAAATAACAGAATCAGGAAAACTAGACAAGGACTCAAATCTATCAAGACACAATTCAGCATGGATAAATGCAAGGTTCTCCTCCCACGCAATAAATAGCACCTGAAAACACGCTGGAGGGTCAGCTATGGGTCAGCTCGGACTTGACAGTACACCACACACAACACCATTTTCTACAATCAGCTTCAACCAACTAAGTCTCTAGGTTTAGATACACAATACTGACCAGCAAGCAG